TCTTTTACTCTTATATATTTTTATGGTAATTCATCTTTGACCAGCTCCGTCAGCTGGGTCTTCCTGATTCTGAACCCAAAATCTGCCCCTACCCTTATGTGGCAGGTCTAGGGCTTGGGTGAAACATGTCCCTCGTCGGAAGCCTCTCCAGCCCCCTCCCCACCCCCCAGGACTGCCCTGAATGATGCAGTCAGGCTGCAGTCCAGACACAGGGAAGAGCCCCGTCTGGGCCCAACTGTCGGGTCAGGAGGGCAGAGGGTGTTGTCATTTGTACCGCAGAGGAAACTGCCTCCTTGTGATCACTCAGAGATGGGTCAGAGAGGGTGAGAGAGTTACGTGGGAGCCGCACTCCGGGGCCTTCGTGGCTGGCACTCCCAAGTCTTTGGTGTCCGGATGCCGCGCTTCGGGCACTCCTGCTGTGCTGCTGCCTCCCCCCAGGAAAGCTGCTGCTGGCCCTTCAGATGCTGTGCCAGCCCCAGAGCAGGGCCCAGACCCCACTTCTGCCCACCTGACCTATCGCCTTCTTAGTCACTGCACTTCCACCACTGACCTCGTCTGTCTGCCGGGCTAGATGCGGGTCCTCCACTGACTTCTGCTCTTGTCCTTCCACAGGAAGACAACATGGCCTTCGGGAAGCCTGCCAAGTAAGTGATGAGCACCCATGTGACTAGCCCTAGGGCCGGGCCTTCTGGGACACAGCGGGAGTCAGCACCCTGAGGATGGGATGAGGGGAAGGATAGCCAGGCTCCACCAGAGCATACAGCCCCTGCCGAGCATCTCCTGCACCCGTCCCTGGCTGCGTTTTTACCCACAGACCATCTAGACTTTGCCTCAGCTCTACGTGGTTGTATTCAGCTCCATTGGAAGGATGAGGAAAGAGAAGGGGCTGGTCATGATGACACAGGAAGTGGCAGAGCTGAGATTCACACCTAGGTGTCTCATTCGAAAATCTAGATTCTTCTGCCCCTCGGGAGTGAACAAGTCATTTAAGATGTAAAGGAGGCACTGCTTGGACCTGGGCTGGAAAGTTCTGCTTAGAATAAAAGTAGTCAGGCCCTCTGGGACCTATTACTATGTTTGGGTGTTTGGAACTTTTGGTCTTCATTTTCTTTCTTTCTTTTTTTTTTTTTAAGTAGTGTCTACACCTGACATGGGACTTGAACTCACAACCCCCAAGATCAAGAGTCGCATGCTCCACTAACTGAGCCAGCCAGGCACCCCTTCATTTGTTCTGTCTTGGGGGCCCATTCAGCTGTGGGCCTGGTGACAGTATGCTTAGAAGAGCCCCTGTGGTCTGAGGCTGCCCCGGCTAAGTCAGGCCCCAGGGAGGGGCTGGTCCCCTCCGCACAGCAGGGCGCTGGCTCCCCAAGCCCTGCTGACTTCCACAGGCAGGTGGAAATGTGGCCCAGTGATGTCTGGGCTGGACGTCTGCGCCAGGCTGCTTTTCGGGGTCAGTTTTAAGGGCACCCGTTTCCAGGCAGGAGCCCCTGCGCAGCCCCAGTTCAGGCCCTGCCTCTAGGCTCCTCCACCAAGCTGTTCCCCACAGAGCAGCCAGAGGGCGCCCTGCCCTCCCAGCATTCCTGGCTGGAGCCCCCCGGGGCACTCCACTGTCTGGCACAGCCGCTCTCACCCAGCTTGAGGTCTGTGAGCTTTTACCTCCACAGACTCTTCTCCGACTCACCCCAGTCCTCCCAAGTGGGAGAGGGAGGGACAGAGAGCATGCTGCTTGTGAATAAACTCAGGGTGACATTCAAGTCCCCCAGCACGCGGCCCCGCCTGCATCTCCTGACTCTGTTCCTCCCTCTGACTCCTCCAGCAGTACCCAGTCTCTTAACTCCCGGTGCAGGCCGCACAAGTCTGTGCCTCTCCCTCTGTTCGTGCTCTGCCCTCTGCTGTGCATGGCCAACCCCTCTTCCTTCACACTAGATGCAGGTGTCACCCCAGAATGCCTCTCATACCCCCCAAATGAGTTAGTCCCTACCTTTCCCAGCGTCCACAGGGCACTGGGCATGTCACACCGTGTTACGGGTGTCCACTGTGTGGCTCTTGCCCTAGACTTACCTCACCCCTGCAGCCTCCGCACCCACAGGACCCTGCACAGAGCAGGCGTCAGGAACATTTGTGAGGCTGAGTGACCATAAGAGAGGAGAGCCAGTGCCCAGAACCCGCTCTCTCCTCCCAGGTACTGGAAGCTGGATCCTGCTCAGGTGTACACTAGCGGGCCCAACGCGTGGGACACTGCTGTGCACGATGCCTCTGAGGAGTACAAGCACCGCATGGTAGGTGGGCTGCTCCTGATAGCAGGACCCGGGCTGGGAGGTCCCCCACAGCCCTGCCTGACCCACCTGACCCAACCCTTCCCGCATCTCTAGCACAGTCTCTGCTGTGACAACTGCCACTCACATGTGGCATTGGCCTTGAACCTGATGCGCTATAACAACAGCACCAACTGGAACATGGTGACGCTCTGCTTCTTCTGCCTGCTCTATGGGAAGTATGTCAGGTGAGCCGTCCACCCGCTGCTCACCCCTGGGGCCGCTCTCTCCCAAGGATCCCGTCAGGGCTGTTTGTGGCGTCCTGCAGCCAACAGGGACAAAGCAGATGCTGGTTGGAGCCGTGAAGGTTCTAGAGTAACTAGCTGAGTTCCTGGTGGAGAGGAAGGTGGCTGTGCTGAAGTCCAGCTCCACCTGGGTCCAAGCCCAGGTCTGTGTGATCTCAGCCACCTGCCTTGGCCTCTCTAAGCAGCGACTGCCCTTGGGAAAATGGAGGTTATGATTCTGGCTCCTCGGAGAGGCTGTGAGCCCACAGAGCCCTGTGCTCAGGTCAGGTGAACACGGAGCCCCTCAGAGGAGGGGGAGGTAACTGCCCCACAGGATTCCTTCCCACCCTCCCTCATCAGAGGCAGGGTTCTGGGTAGGGGGGCCTCAGTGATGGCCTGGGGGGACCTTTGAAGCCACAGCCTCAACCTGTAAGGTCAAAGGCATTATTCCAATTCTCAGGTAAAGGGAGCTCAGAGAGGTTGAATGACTCACCCACCTGGGAGCCAGCACATGCCTGGTCCCACTTGGCCGCCTCTCCAGGCTTCCCGCTAGCTGCGTGCATCATTAAGAGCTTCTGGAAAAGAGACTCTAGGGGTCTTTTTTTTTTTTCTTTTAAGTCCAGAAGTCCTTTAGAGGTCCCCAGAGAAGACCATAACTGTGGTCACAGAGAGACTGAGGTGGAGCCCTGACCCCCAGCCCCTCAGCTCCAGCCACAACGTGCACTATTGCTGATCCCTGCCCTCCCAGTGGGCCTCATTAGAGGGCAGCCTGGCTTCCACACCGAGACTGAAGACCCCCCCCCAGAGAGAGATGATTCTAGATGGAGCACCGAGGCCCGGAGAGGGTGAACACATCTCTTGTACCTGCCCAATGAGGTGTCAGATGTCTGCCAGGAACCTGGAAGATTGGTGGCCCTGCATAGTCGGTGTCGAGCCAGGCTGGGCCCATTCCCTTGACTGACCAAGTGTGGGGGTGAGGGAGTGGTTCCAGGAGCTTCCTTAGGGGCAGCAGCCCCATCTGGGCCGGTGGGCAGACAGGGCTCTGTGAAGCACACCCCACTCACCAGGCCCTTCCCACTCAGACTCCTCTCTCTCCTATCAGTGTCGGGGCCTTCGTGAAGACCTGGCTGCCCTTCGTCCTCCTTCTGGGCATCATCCTAACTGTCAGCCTCGTCTTCAACGTTCGGTGATGGCTGCCTCATGGCCCTGAACCCACCAGGTTCCTGAGGAGGCAGTTGCCACCCCTTTTGGTTCCAGATTCTTTCTTCTCACCCCAAAAGGCCGGGATGGGTTTGCTGGTTTTGATCCAGGGGTCTGGGCTAGATGGGATGGAACAAGGGCTGAAGATGAGCATGGGGCGGGGGTGTTTGCTTGTTGTGTCTCACAGGTCACTAAGAAGCTCCCTGTCCCCTCCTTCCCAGGCTTGTGACCCCCGCCCTTGAGGCACCCTCTTTGTTCATCTGTTGGAAAGGCCTTAGTTTCCCTCTGTAGTGCTGCCCCTGCCACTGCCTGCTGGGCTCCCTCTGCCTCAGCCCAGTGCCCGGCGGGGAAGGGGAGCACATTTGGACCACCGGACAAGGCAGCCCAGGGGCCAGAGCTGGATTTGGAGCACATCTGCCTGCCAGGGCTCTGGCCTCAGGGTGGGTGGAGTACCCTAAGAAGTCTCCATAAGCTAAGCTGCCCTGGGCCCTTCACCACTAGCCTCTAGAATGTTCTAGTAGGGCTGGATGGGCCCCCGATCAGATGTCTGCGCGAAGCTGCACTAGGGGCGGTTTGTGCCCCATCTCCTGGTGTCCTCCAGCCCATGCAGCCCCTGCTTCCTCCTCTCCCTGGGCGCCCCAGCACGTGAGCCCATCTCCCCATGCAGTTGGGGGGGCCAGGTCGGGGCTCCCCCAGCCAGTCTGGGGAGATGAGTGATGCTGCCATGCCCAGAGTGACCCCCTGCAGACCAGAGCAGTGTAAACAGGCTTGGCTCCAGCCAACAGGGACAGGTGCGGGCCTCACACCGGCGCGCGGGTGACGGTGCCCCGTGGGTCCAGGACACCGGGGGCCGTCATAGCAGCCAGCACCATCAGGGAGCTGTGTCCTCCCACCTGCCACAGCCCCCCGTAACTTCAAGTTGGGGGAAGGACGTGTGCTGCCCCCCCCCCCCCCCGCCTGCTCTGCAGATTCCTTGCGCGGGGACCCCCTGGGCAGGGCAATAAAGAGTTCGACTCCAGATGGCGTCTTGTCCTTCCTTTCTCCCTTCAGTGGCCCCTCGCCCCTTCAGCTCGTTTCTTCTGGCTGCCCTGGCGGGGGCCCCAATTGCCAAGGCCATGGTCGAGCCCTTGTCCAGTGCCCACCACAGGCAGAGCTTACAGGGACATCTGCCCCCCTCAGGTCCCTCCTGCCCCAGGCCCGGGTCGTGGGGGCTCCCCGCCCCTCCAGATCCACCATCCCAGAGCCCTCTCCTCACGGCAAGTGAGCACGAAACCCTCCCATGATCCCAGTTGGGAAGAACTGGCAGTAGCCTTGGGAGGTGGGGCTGTGCAGACCGGCACCTTGGACCTGTCCCCTTAACCAGGGCTGCACAGCCTGGGATAGCCAAGAGGGCCTCCCCAGCCCCTGGCCTCTGCCCTACCCATCCGTCATATTGCCAGGTTCCTCTTGCTGACCCCCAGCGATCAGGTCACTGCCCTGCTCTCCAGCAAGACGGCAGCACTTGCTCGTTTCTGGTCCTTTGTTTTCCACCTGTTGAAATCGTGGTCCTTCTTTCCAAGACTTGGCTTCAAAGCCTCTTCCTGCGTGACGTCTTTCCTAACCTTGCTCTATGGCGTGTGTCGTTTTAGTTGAACTAGCAAAGGATTTGGTCTCTGAATCCTGAGGGTCTTTTGTGTTCATCCTGACAGCTGCCTTGAGCACAGCCCTAGCGGCTGGCCCCCAGGGCCCTGGAGGGGTCTATCAGCTCATCCCAGACTCTGCAGAGCTGGGGTTTCTCCAGGGCAAGACAGAGGAGCCCCCTCCCTTCTTCATAGCAATTCCATTTTCAAAAATGCATTTTGCGTATTGGGATCCATCTGAGGGTTGTTTGGGGGGAGAAGGAGTTCCAGTATGGAGGACAACCACAGCAGAATGGATAGACAAAAGTAGTAAGGTCTGCTCCCGCCCAGCAGAACTTTAAATTAGCCTTGGGGAAACAGGATATGAAGAGGTGGCTGAATGCTTACTGTGTGCTAAGCCTCGTAATGAAGTGTCATTTATCCTCACCACAGCCCAGTGAGGCCGGTGCTGTCGTCCCCATTTTACAGATGAAGCAGGCACAGAGGGGTAAAGTGGTTTGCTCAAGGGCACAGAGGTAGGAAGAGTGGAACCGCATTCAAGCCCAGTAGCCTACTTCCTCAGAACCACCCTGTGGCTGGAGCACAAGGGGTAAAGCAGGAAGGGGCTGTTCTCCAAAGGACTGGCTACTGTGACCAAAGAGAAGGGAGAATGGATGCTGGAGGCAAGCCAGGGGACACTCCTTGCTCCAGTCCCAGGAGATAGCTGCTGTCGCTGCCCTTGTTTTATAAAGGCAGAGGGTGAGGCTTACAGAGTTTGTCACTGATCCAAGTCCACGGGGGACCGTGTGGCAGAGCCAGAAGTTTAAGCCCGACCTGTTGGCCTTCAGGCCCCTGCCTCTTCACCTAAGTGCAATGACAGCCTGGAGGCAGGGGAGCCCCAGAAGGAGCGGCGGCAAGTGGGGAGAGCACTCCTGCGGCTGGGGACTGGGGAGCAGCAAAGGAAGCAGAGTCTTCGGGTAAGGATGTGGGAGACAAGGACATCAGAGCCACACTTACGGGCGCGGGGGTCTGGGGGTCAGGCTGAGGAGTAGGGCGGCCCAAGAGTTAAGTCAGTGTCTAAGGGAGGCTGGGCTGGTTGGGAGCACTTTTGTGAATGAGCCAGAGGGTCACCCTGGTTGTCTGCTGGCACCTTCCAGAGCTGAGGAATGACAGATGAAAGTAGGGTGCCGAAAGGCCCCTCTGACGGCCTTGCGTGGGCAGGACTAGAGGGGCTGAACGGAGGCCAGGAGGCAGGGAGGCCGAGGGTTCCAGAAGAGGTTGGGCCAGTCCTGACACCTGGGCAGTGGGGGAGCAGCAGCGATGGGGGACAGCTGGGGACGGGAGGGGGGCAGTCTGGGTGCTGGCAGCAGGCAGCAGGCGGCTGGGGGTGTTCACAACGGCAGGAACTTGGAAATAAGAGATTCGGGGGTGGAAGATACAGACTTAGGGGACAGCGCAGCTGGGCTGGGGCCAGCGCTGCCCGGGAGGCACATGTGGACAGGGACGGGCAGTGGTTGTCAAAATGGACTGTTGGAGAGGGGCCACCTGGTGGTACCTTCTCTGTGCTGGCCGGGCACTGTCTGGTCCCTTGGAGTAGGCTCTTCACACCTCCGCCCATAGTTTGCATAGGAGGAAATTGCAGCTCAGCATGGTTGAGACATCTGCTTAAGATCACACGGTGGCAGAGGAGGAACTCTACTCGGGGTCCTCTGACTGCAGTCTGTAATCCTTCCTTGATCCTGCTTCTTAGAAAGATTTCTAACCTTGCTTTCAAAGCAAGTTCCTATCAGCAATTCAGCAGGCCGGGTGGGGCAGCCGCCCATCCTACAGATGAGGCCACCGAGGCACTGAGGGGTTGGTGCCTGCCCAGCTCACAGGAGGTACAGAATAAGTCTGCAGCGGAGCTGGGGCCAAGCCCCAGGTGTCTCCCACCCACCAAATCAGCTCCGGGTTCTCTGAAAGCTGAGGCTTGGGTGCGCCCGCAGGGTGCCAGGAGTCCAGGCCCGGTTTTGCATCATGCCCTGCTCAGAAGGTGTTTCCTCCTTCTCAGGGGCAGCTCCTCCAGGCTGCTGGTTGAGTCAGCCTTAGTCCCTCTCTGCTCTGCTCCCCAAGTTGAGCTCTGAAACTCGGCTGCCAGCAGTGCAGGAGAGCCCAGGTCACCCTGCGAAGGTGTCTGATCCATACTGGACCCCTACAGGTAACACACCTCAGGGCCAGGGTTCCCTGCCAGTGTCCCAAGGAGCAGACACTGCCACCTGGTATCCTGGGTACCCTCTGGGGCCTTGGGGGTCAGGGGAGAGGGGAGTGGGTCTGGGACTGGAGCATATTGACCAATGGGTCTGTCCCATAGTATTGAACCAGAGTGGGGAGGACCGGACACCGGATTCGGCCTCTAGAAGGAGAGGAACTACAGGGAATGGGTGCTCCTGGGGACCCTAGGCTCAGATGCCCACAGCCCAGCCCAGGCGGATCTGCAGGACATCCTCCACCTCTATACTCCTACACACGCGCCCCCGGGGTCCCCGGGGCCCCAGAGCACACAGCACGACACAGCCCAGACACACATCCAGCAGAGGAAGAAGTACACAGGGCACATACCACACCGTGCTGTCACCCAGCAAGTCACTGAACAAGACAACAGTCACCCACGCGGCGTCACATCGTGACATGATGCACCAACACACAGGCAGTGATACAGTATTCACACCCACAAAACAAACAGCCTCATAGACGCCACTGTGTGCAGAGCCTGGGCCATACTGAGACTTGCAAGGGCACATCACACAGGCGTGGGCCCTGGGCCACAGGAGAGCCCCCGGCCGTGCATGTACGGCACCCAGCACTTTGAACACAGCGAATGTTCAGGAAGTATTGTTAATACGGGGCATACACGGTACTCTGTAAAGACGGCAACCCCAAGCCCGCGGGTTGGGGGGCAGCAGAGGGAGAAGGCGCTCTCGGGCTTGGGCACTGACTCACAGCAGCGGGCACAAGCCAGGACTCGCCTGCCAGAGAACCCTCTTCCCATCTCAGGCCTGCCTGGTGTCCTGACATGGCCTGGGAGGGGATGGGAGGGGCAGCAGGGGAGGAGAGACGGCCCAGGGGGCTCAGGCCATGCCTCCGCTCTGGCCACGGCTCAGTCATGGGCCCCTTGCCACGTCCACATGCCCCTTGGAGCTGGGCAAATGTTTTCCTTCCGGAGTCACCGTGGTACCTGAGCAGCCTGAGCCGCTTTGCAGCACTTGGCCTCCACTGCCAGATCCAGGTCCTGGGCCGGGGGAAGGGGGAGAATCCATGTGGCCAGAGCAGAGAGGCCCAGGGGCTGCAGGCAAGAGGGCAGGGCTGGCAGCAGGGGCATCATCCCGGCTGGAGGCCTCAGAGGGAGTGGGTACAGTGGTTACCTCAGCGGGGAGGAAGCGGGGGTGTGGGCCGGGGAGGAGGTTGCCTCAGACAGGAAGGCCAAATGGGCCAGGGCAGGGTGTAGGTGAAGGGTGGAGGGAGGGAACCCATATTGGAAGGTTCCCAGGGAGAGGGCGGTGAGCAGATCGGTGTGTGTGCCTGTGTGTCTGGGCATGGGTTTGTGTGTGTGCCTTCCCCATGTGTGTACAGGTGTATTTCTGCATTCAATTAATCAAACTTCTACCAACCGTCTGTTGTGGGCAACGTGTGGGCTTTTGGGGTGAGGCCCTGTCCCTGTCTTCAAGGAGCTCACAATCCAGTTGGTGGAGGGGCAACGTGCATGCAAAAGTCAGTGTGATTTGTGTGTATCTCGGGTCATATTTTTGTCCCGAGTTATATATTCTGTGGGGCCTCGTGTGCAGGTTTCAGAATATGTCAGGCACATCCCCTGGTGTGGGCATGGGTCTGGGACTAAGACCACATAGGGTCCTTGGTGGGGGATGGGTGTGCATGCGTCTATCTATGCAGGTATGGGTGCACCCGTGTGATCAGGTGGCCATCTCACTGTGGGTGCACATCTTCAAGTGTGTCCGTATGTCTGTGAGCCAGTGTGTGCACGGGTCCATGGGTCCATGGGTGTATCTCATGCCACCTTGAGCTCAGCCTTCCTGGAGTCGTACGGTGCCCATCACCTGGGCATATATTTGGGCAGAAAAGAGCAGCCAGCTCCAGGATGTGCCCTGTATTTGGGCAGGGCTTGACCTGCCCCCTTGATCTGCCCCCCAGGTCGCCACGTGTGCCCAGCTGGGGCACTGCCCCAGCTGATGCCCCAGAGGGGCCACCCATCTCAAGAGGGGCTCCGGGCCCTGCCCGGCCTCCTCATGGCACACAAGCCACAGCCTGAGGCTGATGGATTGTTGGACCTCAGCTTCCTGACAGACGAGGAGCAGGAGGCTATTGCCGATGTCCTGAAGCGAGATGCCTGCCTTCGCCAGTTGGAGGAGGGCCGGGTCAGGTGAGGCAGGTCAGGGGAGCCCGGGAGGATGGGGCCTCAGGCACTGGGAGCCCAAGTGCGCCCCTGCTGCCTCCTGATGTGTGGCCTGTCAGATATCTGGGTGGTTCCTGTTTTTGCCCATTGGTCACCTCCGCCCTTAACCAGCGCGGCTCTCTACCTCACCCAAGATGGCTGCGCCAGCTCCCTGACCAGCCTTCCTGCCTCCAGGCTTGCCCTCTCTGACCCACTGGTCACGCTGCAGCTGGAGCTCCCCAGATCTGTCCTTAATATTCCCTGCTGAAAACGCCCATGGTTCCTCAGCACCTCGTGTCAGGGGCAAGCTCCTAAGTGCGGTCCGCAAAGCCTCCCTGATTAGTCCCTGCCAGCCTCCCCGGTCTCATCCTCCACCAGTAACCCCCGCCCCTGACGCACATACCCACAGTGTCCACTGGAGCCGCTCAAGGGCTTCAGAGTCGCTGAACACACCCTTCACTTCTATGCTATTCCTTCTTCCTGGAAGAGCACAGTGGCTGAGGAGCATAGGACTTACAAGTAGTGTTCGGGGACAGACAGACACCTCTTAGCTATGTAACCTTGGGCAACTCACCTGACCTCCCCAGCATCATTCTCCTCATCTGTAAAATGGGGCTAAGGAGCATTAGCTCATAGAATTAGGAGGAGGGATTATTTACAGTAGTCATTTAATGAATAATAATCATTCTCCTTCTCTGCCTGTTGAACTCCAATATGTCCTCCAAGAAGCAATTCAAATGTCACCTCCTCTGGGCAGCCCTCCTAGATCCCCACAGGCAAAGCTGGCCCTTCTCACATCCATCATGGCACCCACCTCATTATGGTGTACTTGTCTATTCTGGATCCAGTCTCCCCATCAACCTGAGCCCTTTGATCCAGAGTAAGGATTGAGTCTGATTTGCTGTTGTGTCCCTGGCCCCAGGTACAGGGCCTGGCACAGAGTGGGTGGCAGGAATGTTGGTTGGGTGACAGCCATGCCCTCCCCCATCCTCCAGTAAGCTTCGGGCCTCACTGGCAGACCCTGGGCAGCTGAAGATCCTGACAGGAGACTGGTTCCAGGAAGCACGCTCACAACGGCACCACCATGCCCACCTTGGCTCTGATCTTGTCCGAGCCTCTATCCGCAGAAAGAAGAGCTCCATGGGTAAGCGGAGACCCCGCCCCCCCGGGTCAGACTGGCTTCATACAGCCCAGGGCACTGGGTGTGCGTGGACAGGAAGAGAGGGCCCCTGGTACTGTGTGTCTTCGGGTGGGCACCACCCCTCCATGAGCTCCGGGAGGTGAGTGAGCATCTCCAAAGGCCAGACTTCCTGAGACCGAGGGTTCACAGAACTTCTCACCTGGGCACAGGAGACCAGGCTCCAGGCAGCGATGGGGAGCCTGAAACTGCTGAGAAAGAAGCTGAAGAGGAGCTGGAGCCCAGGTGAGGAGGGCCTGGCAGGGAGGGGAGGGTGTCTACCAGTCCCCTGGGGGCCTATCCCCTGACAATCACCTCTCCCTTCTCCTAGGCTCCCCATGGACAAGGCACCCCAAGAGATGCTCACCAAGGATGAGGTGAGTCATGAGTGACTGAATGAGCTAAGGAATGAGCCTACAATGCCCCTGAAGTGGAGGCGGGATGTGAGACTCAGGAGACCCAGGTCTGGGCCGCGTCACCCTTCTCTGTCAAATGGGGATACGGACCTGGCCTCTAAGGGAGTCTCAGAATCTGGCTATTGGGGTGGTGGGGGACTGAGCTGGGTGAGGTTCAGGACTCAGATACTACTGTCTGCCCCCAGTGGGACCCTGGGAGTCAGGCAGGGCAGGCCCTGACACGCAGAAGGGGGTGTGCCGTGCAGGCCGGACTGGTCCTGCAGCTGGTTAGCTGCTTGCCAGCCCCGCCTAGAGGGCTGTGCTAAATCAATCTGGGGTAGCCAGCTGGAGCCTCTGGCCTCTGACCCCACCGTGACCTTTGACTCCTTCATCACTAGTCCCCACCGTGACCTCTACCCCTTGCTTCTTTCAGAAACCTGATTTCCCCTCACCATATGTCCCGCTAAAGGCTTCAGATCATGAGGAAGAGCCCCAGGCCCAGGAAGGTGAGTGGGAGGGTGTGAGTTGGGGATTCCAGAGAGGTTTTGGGGGCCAGAGGCGTCTCTAAGTGACCCCAACCACCTGTGTTCACCTTCCTTCACCTTCTCTCTCCTTGGTGCATGAGTATGCGCGCGCGTGCGTGTGTGTACGTGTGTGTGTGTGTGTGTGTGTGTGTTTGTGGTGTTGTCTCTGGGGCTTCCCACAGCACTGGGGCCTGAATCTGCAGGTCCTGGGGGGTGGCAAACCAGTCCTTCCAAATTTGCTTAGGGGCGGGTGGGAGAGGGCCACGCTCAGTAGCTTCTGCCCCACCCCAGCCCCGGGCCCCGGGGACTCGCAGGTCTTTGCAGAGGAGGCGGACCCGGAGCCGGAGCCGCGGTCGCGGGAAGCTGAGTCGCCGCCACCCCCAGCCCAGGTAGGCGGGAGCGGCCCGCGGCTGCTCCCAAGACCCGGAGCGGATTCTGGGCGGGGAGTGCCCCTGCCCGGGGCTGAGAGCCGTCGGGGGAGGGGCTGGGAAGGAGTGGACGGCCCGTCACTTCCACCTCACCTCCCCAGACCCAGACGGCGCCCAAGATCCTGGAGAACGGGGAGGAGGCTCCGGGGACTGGCCCCTCACTCGACCGTATGCTCAGCAGCAGCTCCTCGGTGTCCAGCCTCAACTCCTCCACGGTGAGGGGTGAGGGCTAGGGCCTGGGGACGGAGGAGACGGGTGGGGGATGCTTACCGCCCCCCGCCGGCCTTAACCCCGCGCAGAGCCCCGGCCTGACCCCTCCCTTGCCCCCTGATCTGAGCACCTCCCCCCGACCTCGGCCCGGACCTGAGCCCTGCACCCCCGCCCTGACCTCCACCCCCGCCCGCAGCTGAGCAGCAGCCAGCTGAGCCTGTCCGGGGAGGCCGAGGCGGGCGCGGTGCAGGTGCGCGGCTCGGTGCACTTGGCGCTGCGCTACGAGCCGGGCACCGCCGAGCTGCGCGTGCACGTGATCCAGTGCCAGGGCCTGGCGGCCGCGCGACGCCACCGCTCCGACCCGTGAGTGCCCGACCCGCTCTCACCGCCCCACCCCAGCACCCTCCTTGGCCTGTCTTCCTCGTCTTCAAAATGGGAGTATCAACGTCCTTAGGAGGCGTGGGGATTGAGTGAGAAAACTCCTGGGAAGCCCTGCACGGGAAGCTGTGTTCTGGGCTGGGGCTGGGGAGGTTGGGGCTGGGGAGGTAGGAGCTGGGAGGGCCCCCACCATTAAGCTCTGGTCCTCCCCTGGCCTCCCACGCTCCAGCTACGTCAAAAGCTACCTCCTCCCGGATAAGCAGAGCAAGCGCAAGACGGCGGTGAAGAAACGGAATCTGAACCCGGTCTTCAACGAGACACTGAGGGTGAGGTTGCGATGACCGGGCGGCCCCCCATTAATGAACGGGACGCCCCTTCCTGCGGGGGCCGGCTGGCAGGGGCAGCCAGAGTATGGTCCTTGCGGGTCGCTCGGATCCTCCGCTGTGTGGGAGGAACGGCCGGGAGGCCCTCCGTCCATGCATTCTCCTGTGTGTCAGTGTAGTGCCGGGCATGGCGCTAGCCCAGACCCCCATGAAGGCCCTTCGGGGCCTCTCCGGATTCCCTCGTGCAAGGAGCGCGGTAGGACAAGCCCCGTCCACACTCCCGCAGCGCTGAAGCCGGGGCCAGCCGCCGTGGTCCGTTAAAGCGCCCCTCCTGTCCCCAGTACTCCGTCCCGCAGGCCGAGCTCCGGGGCCGCGTGCTGAGCCTGTCCGTGTGGCACCACGAAAGCCTGGGTCGCAACATCTTTTTGGGCGAAGTCGAAGTGCCTCTTGACACGTGGGACTGGGACTCTGAGCCCATGTGGCTCCCCCTGCAGCCCCGGGTGAGGCAGCCCGTCCGGGTGGGGAGACCCCGCGGCGCAGGTGTCCCGCTTGCACCCCACCGTGCTTTCCCCCAGCCCCCTCAGACTCCGCTTTCGGCCGAGCCTCCCCTCGGCCTCGCAACCGTACTGCCCCTCGGCGGCCGGTTTGGTCCTCCCGGCTGGCCGCGCCCCATCGTAGTCTGGAGACCCCACCCCTTTGGCTGCCCGTTTCCCTGGGACCTGCTCCCGCCCCTGACCAAGCCGCCTGTCGCCTCTCGCAGGTCCCGCTCTCTCCCGACGACCTCCCCAGCCGCGGGCTGCTCTCCCTGTCCCTCAAGTACGTCCCCGCCGGCTCCGAGGGTGAGTGACCGCCCCGCGAGAGGCCACGCTGGACGGGCCCTGGGAGGAGGGGGCCACCGGTCCCGCGAGGGTGTGGGGCGGCGGGGCCTGAGCTGAGCCTCTCCGCAGGCGCGGGACTGCCCCCCAGCGGGGAGCTGCACTTCTGGGTGAAGGAGGCTCAGGACCTCGCGCCACTGCGCTCAGGAACGCTGGATACCTACGTACAGTGGTGAGGGGCATCGGGACCTCCCGGCTTCCCTTCCTACCTCCCCCAACACGCTCTGGAGCTCCCCACCTCCGATAAACCCCTCCTAACCAACCACCCTTGATGCCCTCCCCCGCCCCAGTCTGATCTTTGACCACTGTGCAGGGGTGAAGGGGACAACTTGAGCAAAAGCCTGGAGTCAGGAAAGTTAAAGACATCCTTGAGGAGCTGCATTTCAGGATGACAAGCCATAGGACTTGGAGAGCTGAGGCTGGGACCTGGGAGGTCACAGGGGCTCTTCCATGAAAAGAGCTGGAAGGCCAGGCTGTGGGGCTTGGCCCTGAACTTGCAGTTCAGTGGTTTTCAAAGTAAGCTCTGGGGGACCTCTAGGGGTGCCTCCAGGTGCTACCCCACACTCAGAGAGTGAAATGAAGTTAGGGGGATCAGGTTTTAAATTTCCAGCCCTGATTCCACACACAGACATTGTTTTGCTTTTACTTCTGAGTAATATTTTATCTTGCAGAAAGGGTTCTGAGGCTTTAAAGTTTGGAAACTACTTCTGGGGGCAACAGGGAGCCAATGAAGGTCATTGTGCAGGGAAGTAGAACTGTATTTCAGAGGCATTACTCTGGGTCCTGCGAATAAGAGTTGTAACTTTAAAAACAAGAGGCCTGAGAGGTGGCTGGCCCAAAGGTCGACGAGTAGTGAAGGTCTGAGGCCAGGTCCCAGGTGGGAGCGAGAGGGCATGGACATTGTGAGGGAGAATGGGTAGGATTTGGTGACTGGTTGGTTCTGCGGCCTGTGAGGGGATAGCCACTTGATTGCCAGCTCACCTCCCCCACAGTTCAGTGCTGCCTGATGACAGCCGGGCCAGCCGCCAACGGACAAGGGTGGTACGACGCAGCCTCAGCCCTGTGTTCAACCATACCATGGTTTATGATGGCTTCGGGCCTGCTGACCTGCGCCAGGCCTGTGCTGAGCTCTCCCTCTGGGACCATGGGGCCCTGGCCAGCCGCCAGCTGGGGGGTACACGCCTCAGCCTGGGCACCGGTGAGTGGGGCAGGGCCCTGGGGAGACCTGATGCTGAGAGACAGGGGCTCAGTGTGTGGCCTTGGGCGGGCACTTCTCCGCCCTTTCCTCAGCTTTGGTGTCCACTGAGAACTGGGAGTGGCACTGCATAATCTGGGACCTGGCAGGTATTCCTTGGGACCTAGGGTGTCCAGTGTGACCATGCCCTTCACTCCTCTGCACATGTCCAGGCAGCAGCTATGGGCTCCAGGTGCCCTGGATGGACTCCACACCGGAGGAAAAGCAGCTGTGGCAGACACTCCTGGAGCGACCGTGTGAGTGGGTGGATGGCCTTCTGCCCCTCAGAACCAACCTGGTCCCCAGGACATAGCTGCCCTACAAGCCCCACCAAACTCCTCTCTGGACCCCCATCTCTGGGCCTGCCCTTGGCGAAAACCAATAAAGTCTATTCTAAGGGCAGCAAGGGGCTGGTATCTGTTTCTGGGCTGCGAGGGTGATGGCAGGAAAGGCTGAGGGAAGTGAAGAGAACAGGTGAAGGAACTTTAGACTCAGACCAAAAGACCTTAGGGAGCTGGTCCCAGGACCTCCCCGCCCCCCATACCTCAGAAGGCCCAAGTGTACAAAGGTGTTCAGTTTAATAGTCTTTGCCTCGTGGTATCTCATAAGCTTGGGGCATCTCTGTGGTTGATTCCCCCCATTGGGGCTAGGCCTGGGCCCTACCTTGCCCCCACCCACCTGGCCTCCTCCAGTTGGCCCTGAGTCCTGGGGTGGGGGTATCAGAAGCTGCTTGTGTCTTCTCCATTCATCCATCCTTGGGTCCTGCCTCCCATCTCTGAGCTCTCATTCAGCCTCCTGTTGACCAGGGGTAACTGGCGTGGATCCTGCTCGCTGTGCCAAGATGGCTCTCCAGATGCGGCATACCATCCCTCCCCTGGGGAGAGCAGGCTCAGTGTGGCTCAGTCAGAATAAGGCCCTGGACTCTCTGTTACCCCACTGTCTGCCTGATGTAGCTGGGGGGTCAGGATCTGGCCACCATGGAGCCATATGCATGGGTCATCCCTGGATGGCTCAGGACATACCTGATGCGGGTGTAGATGAGGTCATCTCGAGTGGCGCAGGTCAGTAGGGTACGGAGGGTGAAGCTGTGGTTCAGCAGCTGGTTGTGGACAAAGACCCGGATGCAGAAACAGTGGAAGAGAAAATCAGAGGAAGATGTGTCAGAGACCCAGGTACTAGCTCTGTTCTGCTACCAATATGCTACAGGGCAGGTAACACCCCTCCTGGGCCTGTTTTCTCATCTGTACCATGGGGGGGAGGGGGTTACACTAAGTGCTCTTCCAGTACTGAGATTCTCCGCATCAGGGAAAGAGTGAGAAGAGCTGAAAGATGGGCAGAGACGGAGTCTTTGGTGGGTGGGGGTCAAGGGTGGCCAGCACTCTCCCCCTCACCATCTGGATGGTGCCTGAATCCACGTTCAGTCCTTGTAGCCACTGCACCAGGCCCTGGTCCACCGTGAGAGCAGCTGTGGAGAAGTCAGGTGGTCAATGCAGGGGTACCTCCTGGCAGAAGCCACCTCGCACTTGCCGTGAATGTTCCCCAGCCAGGTCCCACTCACCTGGGGGCTCGGGGGCCAGGGCGCAGGTCCCGGCCTCCCCGTTCACCCGCTGTAGTGCTTGCTGCACCAGGGCCTGGCACTCCTGTTCTTTCTCAGCCAGGACATCTCGGAGCCTGTTGGAGAGCGCAGAGGCTGAGCCGGTAGAATGGAGTGGGGGGGGTGGGGCAGGGAGGGTGAAGCTGGCCCAGAGGCCAGGGGCAAGTCCCAGGGGCTTTACCTGTCAGTCTCTGCTCGCAAGAGGCCCAGCTGCACCACTGGGGTTGGGGGTGCCTGCTCTGGTTTCCCCGGGAGCCGGCTGAGCTGGACCGAGGTCTCCTGCTGCTTGGACTGGGGTTCCTCTTCTTTACTCGACTCCTCTGACCTCGGTGGGACCTCCTCCGTCTCCACCTCTGCCAACCCAAGTGATTGGGTGAGCTCCGGCAGGGAGAGAACTCCCATTTGGGACACCCCCCCCCAAACACCCGGCAGAGGGCGCAAGGCTCTGGGTACCCAGCCGCTCCTTCCCTCCCCTGTCGCGGCTAACCCCCACCAACCACGCCCCCTAGCGGCCTCCGGTGTGCACGTCACGCCCGCAAGGGGGTTACACCCTCGCCGGCAGGCAAGATAGCTCTACTCCCTGGTTTACCTGGGCCCAACACAGCCAAGGCTACCCGCACCGCTCGGCTGAGCAGCGAGTCCAGCACGAACATCCAGTGTGGGCGGATCTGGCGCCGGCGGAGGATCTGCTTCACCTGGAGAGGGAGAAAGGGCGTGGCGAGCCTCAGAGGTGGGGCTCAAGTTGGAGAGACCTAGAAAGTCTTGCGCCAGAGGCAAGTCGGGTAGGCGGGTTTGGGGCAGAGGGAGGAGCTGGGAAACTAGGATTGGGTAGATGCCCCTTCGCTGATGGCTGTATCTTCCTGGGGAAGACATGCAAACTTGCAACATCAAGTCCTTGTACAGTGCCAGGCACGGGGAGCTCACTACCTATTATTGGGCAGTCTGAACCGCAAGAAAGCTCCCTCACCGCGTCCGGGAAAGCGAAGAGCGGTCCGTGCAGAAGCGCAGGCCCAAGGCCTTGGGCCTGCAGCTGCCCCTGCAGCGCCCGCAGCTCCTGGGCCAGCTGCCGGCGGTTGGGAGTGTGGATGTGCGCCCCGAGGCAGCGCAGTAGCTGTTCCACATGATTCCTGCCCAGCCAGGGCCCCTGCGAAGGAAGAGGGGTTGTCAATGGGTGGGCTCCCAACTGAGTCAAGAGAGCTGCGGGCAGGCGGGGGAGGGGGGGAGGGGGGAGCGGGGGAGGCGTGCGGGAGGCCATCAACCGGCTTCCTGGCTGGGGCGCTGGCCGGGGCGCACGGCCGGCCGGCACCCACCTGGTCCTGCTTCCGGCGCAGGCTGCTGGCCAGCGCGGGCAGCTCCTCCTCCAGCACGGCGGCCAACATGGCCCGGCGCTTGCTCTCCTGGTGCAGCAGGCTCAGCCCGCAACTCTCCTCAGGGGACGTGGGCTCCTCGGCCCCGGCTTCCTCGGGCACCCTAGTGCAATAGGGGGCTGCGGCTGGACAGCGGGTGGCAACATGGCCGGCCGCCTCCACCCCAGGCTTTGAATCCTGGCTCTTCTACTTGGCCGCCTACCTCACACGGGGTAAGACAGAGAAGCCTGGCGCGCTGAGGCGGCACTATAATTACAAGTCAGAGCATCTGGGAGGAGGCACCCAATGCCATCCTCGCAAGTGGCTCGAGGTGCCCAGGCCCCCAAAGGGGACTTTTTCCGGAGGGAGTACAGGGGCAACCCCAGATGAGGCAAAGCCACTCCAAGACCCTGGGCTCTCACCGGAGCTGGCTGGTGTCTCCATAACTGAGGCAGCGCTTCGGGGGACTGGGTGGGTGCTGAAAGGGTGCCTGAGGGCGTGGGAATGTCTGGGGCTGGGTGGTCGGGTCAGCTGAAGGAGTGGGGCTGGCTGAAGGGGCATCTGAGGGAGGGACGAGGCCGTCAGCCTGGGCCCCCCCATTCAGCCCCCTCCCTCACCCCAGTGCGCCCACTCCCTCCACCTGCATGTTACCTGAGGGCCGCAGTGCATGTCGGGGGGAGCCGGGGCTGCGGCTTCTCTTCCCGGGCTGCAGGAAGGGGTCCCCCAGCAGTGCTGGAGCACTGGCTCGAAGGCGGGGGTCTGGCTCAAAAGTTCGGAGAAGGAAGGCTTGGGCCTCCGCTGACAGAGAAGTGGGCACTGGCGGATGCACCTTGTACATGCCCACCTGGGAGGGGTCAGGGAGGACAGACAAAGGTCAAGTTTCGAGGTGTTCAGGGCTCTGTCTGTCCCCACCCCACCTCATGAGCTAGGCCGTGAGGGGTCTCACCTGAAACATGGCAGCCTGCGGGCTCCCTAGCTCATGGAAGGGTGGCCGACCTGTGGCCATCTCGATCACAGTGCAGCCCAGTGACCAGATGTCAGCTGCCTTCCCGTACCCTCGTGGGCCCTGGTCAATGATTTCTGGCGCCATGTACTGTAGGGTCCCTGGGGCAAGAGAGGTAGCCACAATGCTCACCTGGGCTTGAGATGATGCGGGGCTGGCAGGGGCTCTCATCCTTTAGCCACCGGTGCCCACCCTGAACTCTGTCATCCAAACAATTCCCATCACCTACCCTGGTGGTCAAACATCTATCCTGAGTTTCCTCACTCATCTTGGGCTCCATCACATTCTGACTTCCTCACCCACAGTAGTGGATCCTGGACAGCATCATCCCCTCTGAACCCCATCACACACTTTTGCCCGCATTGACACTTCCGGGCTGCATTTCAGGCACTAAATTCACCATCGTCAGCTACTCAAGCTCCAGTTCTAGATTCTATCACCTCACCCCTGGCTCAATCACCTGCCCTTGGTTCTGTGCCCCATTAGGGCTCTAACTCCATGGCCAGGAGAAACACCATTCCCTGGAAGTCCTAAGAATTCTTCTGTCCCACATCAGCATCTCCACTCCCCACCCCACACCCCATTACCTGTGAAGGTCTCAGTGCAAGGTGTGATGCCTGCCAGCCTCTTGGAGGTGCCAAAGTCAGAAATCTTGAGCAGCCCACTGAAGGTGTTGATCAGCACATTGTCCCCCTGAGTAGAGTGGACATTGTGCTCGGTGGACATTAGGCTGGGCTCCTGATGGCGGAACTGGACCCTATTCCTGGATCCCATCTTCTACAATCGCAGCCTGACCCTGCCTCTATCAGTGTCCTCCCTCTGCCATCCCCCTTACGATGGGTGTTGGGAGCTGGGAGCTGGCACCTGATTCGGCTTCAGGTCTGAAGTTCTCTCCCTCCCTAGGGAGCCTCCTTGATGAATTCCCCACCCTTTGCAAAGGGGTCGGCCTTCTTAATGTAAATTGCCAGTCTCTGTCTAGACCCGTATGTCTTTCCTGCCCCCCCCCCACCAGCTGCAGGACTTACCTTTATGTCTCGATGCACTATGCGGTTGTCATGCAGATAGCTGAGTCCCTGCAGGATCTGGCGGGTGTAGAAACTGATGGTGCTCTCATTGTCCTGCAGGGGTCCCCACACTGACCGCAGCAAGGAGGACAGGCTGCCTGGGCAGATGCAATCCAAGATCATCATTGGCACCCCCTTACTCCAGCCTTCAGCTCTCTGCTGAAGGCCCAGGCACACTCATGCCATGACCCAGATTCCATCACCACCCAAGTGCACTGCGTCAGCTAATTCTGGGCTACCCCACCCACACACGCTAGGATCCATTTTCCCCCGAGGGTTCCCCACCCCTGCCTGGCCCCATCTCCCTGCCCCACACTTCCAGTTCCACTGCCATCCCACACAGGGCAGGTACCTCCAGGCACTTCCTCCATGAAGATCTTGAGGTAGCCGCCCTG